TTGAAATAAAATCAAATTCAGTAACATGTTGATTCTATGCACAAAGTTGAGTGATCATAGTGAAACAAAATCAAATTAGATAACCATGATGAGACTAGGTATAAAGTTGTGTGGTCGTTGGTGGATTTAACCCTCTTATCTATTATCCTAAATATATTTTTAAATAAAATTTAGATAAAACCATCTATTTATTAAATATTAATGTTACATAAATCGAATTACATCGCAATTTATAAATACATGATGGCCATTCAATGAAAAGAGTAATTAAGTGTATCTTCAAAAGATTTTTTAGGTATGAGAATCTCTTCATTTTAAAGAGTCTAACATTTAAAATCATGTTTCAAAAGACTTTTTAAATTAACATTTTAATTTAGAGAGCGAGTCTTTATAACTAAATGTATTGAAAATGTATCAGTTTTTAATGTAGGAAAATAATAAAATAATTTAAAAAAAATTAGTTAAAATAAAAGATTTAAAAAAATAATAAATATATTTTTTAGAGTAATAAAATTAAGTGTTAAACATAAAGTATTTTACAAGTATTTGCCTCCACAATCTCTAATGTCCCGAAGTTTCATGTTTCATGTTTGTGAATCTAGAGAGGCGCAAGGACGCTCCAAAAGAGAACAAAAGAGATTATTGGATACTTTCTTCCTTTTTCTTTTTGACGTTTTCATTTCTTCTTTTAATATAATTCCGCGAAAAAAACTCGAAAAGACAGCTTTTTAAACTGTAAAGTGTCCGAAATTGATAAGCCCGAGATTTGCAAGAATTTGATATCACACTGCATCAGGTTTCTCTTTTGACTTGTTTAAAAATTTCGATACACGGTTTATGTAGTTTTTTTTATAATGGGGTACAGTTGTTTTACTTAGGAAGATAATTATTACTAATAATGTGGAGCTGATTTGGGCTATTGGTTTCCAATGCTGTGCCGTTCCGGTTTCCTCTTAGTGTAAGTTTGAGCTTCTTTTTCTTGAATTTCCTCCTAGATTCTTTGCTTTTCATATTCCATGAACTTGTCGGATTCGTGTCTCTTAACTCATTGTTCATTACAGATGAATTTTTACCTTTTTCTTAGGTTTCTTTAAACTAGTAGAATCTTGGAACGCAGATATCTGGATTTAACCCTTCTGTCAAAAAACAGGTTTCATCTGGTTCTTTAACACTTTTTTGTTTTGTTTTGATGCTTTGCTGTTTGTGGGTGTTGTTTAAAAATGGTTTTGAAATGTTGGTTTTCTGGATCGAGGCTATAGTTAAAGCGAACTTGCTGTATCCTTGTTCAATGTGGTTTTTCCAGATTTTCGAAATTTAGTAATGAGAAATTGAGATCTAGTAAATTTAAGTGATATTAAACTTAGCAAAAGTCCTCTCCGTAAATAATATAAGTAGGAGACATCTAAAATGTCCATTTGGTTTTGCAAACAAGTATTGAATTGTTGGAGTCATAATGGAACCAATCTCCTCAGTTGTTTTTAAAAAAAAAAACTCCCTGGTTTATTGCCTGCTGAATCGATTGCTCTGCATTTCGTTATCCTTCCATCCTTCACTTATCGTGATTGGCGAAACTAGCTTGTTGGGCAAAAAGAGACGGTAATTATTCTGGTTTTGTTGATTGAGTAACCGATTTACTTTGCTGAACCAAACTTAATTTCCTGGTGCATTGTCAAATTTTAGGACAAGAATCTTTTAGAGTAAGAATAAGATGGCCATAGTGATGTTTGGTGCAGAACAAAGAGTTTAAGAAAGAAGAGAAGAGACAAGAAGATAGAATCATTGGAAGGGGAAATTTCAATCTGTCGAATTCTCAAAAATTTAGTCCCTTACTCATATAGTTTTTGAATCCCTTGTAAAAATGGAAAGGAAAGTATCATAATTAAACCTTTGTAACTATAGGATGGAAGTATATAGACTTGCAATATCATTTAGCTGACATGAAGTATTTATATTTATTTATTGATTTGTTCTGACATTAAATTAGATAGCAGAACAATAGACCATTTAATGTGTTTGATGCTCTTACTTATGGGCATTCCTAATGCACAAAATCGTTTATAGAGTCATCTTATGTTTATCCATATAAATTTATACCCTTTCTCACAATGTTTTAAAGGTCAGGGATTCCGATGGCTATCCACTTGGTATTCCTAGGTTTCGATAAATTTACCTGATATATTAATTAATTAAGTGTAGGTTCCATAATTGCAACCAATGTTTTCCTCTTTATACCACTTATCGGTCATCATCGAGGTTCTTTTTCATTCTTTGTGCTTGCAGGGCTTCATAACCTGGTTCCCCATTTATCAAAATACTGATGTGGATACATAAGGAACCAATAGACATGATTCTTATGGTAGATGTAGAAAATTTACTAACCAGAAAATGCATCAGAAAATCCTTGAAACCATTGTAGGGCAAACCTTTTGTACTCTGAGATAATGCTAGGAAAGTTATTTGGCAGAGTTTCGGAGTGAGCTAGCCAACCACTATTTATAAGTGTAAAATGAATTACGCGGAAGGTTGTTTTCTTCTCTTGCCGCAAGATTCCTTTTTGGTGGAGTGTGTTTTGGCATATGAGTTGCTCTTATCCACACTATCTCCAGTCTATAGAAATATTCCTGGTTCCACTATCTGACTTCATGAACCAGTAATTTGAATGGTCTTTAGCTACTGGGCTTTGTGCTGGATGTGGTCTTGGAAATCTTGTGGGCAACAACTTAGTTGAGTTTGGTCTATGCCGGTATCAGCCCGATCAGTAAACAGGGTTTTGGTTTGAGTCTTAAGATTGACTTCTGGTCAGTCATGGTGGTACATCCAACTCAATGGATATTTCTTGATGAGCTGTGTCTAGTTTGTCCAATCTAGTTAGTTTGAGGGCATTCAGCTTGTGATTGGTTTGGAGAAGACTGGCTGATTGGCTAGTCCATCACTCAGCCTGCCTGAACTATAGTATATCAGTTTCTTCTTGTTTAGTAGATTAACTCATTTGAATTGTTTTCTTTACAGTCTTTCACTGCTTTACGAATGAAACATATGTACTCTTCCACTTAATTTATTTATTAACCGTTGCCTGATCTAATACAATTTGACCATGATCTTCTTGTATGCTATTATAAAATTGGCAGTACGCATGGTTTTAATCAATTTATATCTACATCGTGCATATCCTTTTCCCTTGGGAGTTCATAAATCTTTATCGAAACATATCTTGATTGCGGTTTTCTGTTATTTTGCTTGATCATATTTGTCATCAACATTGTACACTGAGATGATGCTATTTTATGGAAATTACGTAATGATGCCAATTCATGTGAGGCCTGTTTGAACCCCATTATTTCTTCATTAAAATGAAAAATATGACCGTTATCCATCACATCAAGTCATCATATTTGACATTTTATGGAAATTACGTAATGATGCCAATTCATGTGAGGCCTGTTTGAACCCCATTATTTCTTCATTAAAATGAAAAATATGACCGTTATCCATCACATCAAGTCACCATATTTGACTTTTTTATCTCTTGTGTAGGACCATAATGGCTATTTTTTCATTCTCATTTTTTTTAATAATGTGTCTCAAACGAGGGCTGAATCTTCACATCTTGAATTATTCAATATTAAATTCGGATTCCGCAAATAAATACGCACATTACACGTCCGCCTTACCTTTCCTTCTAAATATTTCTCTGCCTTCTTGAGAATAAATCATAATTCTGGTGAAGAATGGTCGGATATATGAGATTACGACTACACCGAGGTATTGACAGTAATTTTCGAATCTCGCATAATAGAATGGGAGATAGTAACAAAGACAAGGAACATGTTATCTACTCTTAACGGTCAAAGAAAGCCCCTTTATTTAGAATTCGTTAATTCAGACCATATTTTTACATTGATTTACAGGCCTGTCATTTCAATTATATAATTTGTTGACTTTTGTCTTTTGTATACTCTCTCTCATTCACATGGATACACACAATTATGTTAGCATGTAGCATCTATCTATCTATATATATATTCTTATCTTTTCTGCACAAATGGAAAGAAGAATTTTACCTTCTCAAATGGCCTGTGCAGATTTCTTTAAGGGTTTTCTCATCGACGTTATTTGAAGGAAATTAAACAGGTCATATTTTAATGCTTTTTCCGATATTATCATCCAAGAAATGAGTTGTCTAGGTCTTGGCATCTGATGTAATTTTAAAAATGCGTGAAATCTTTGTTATTCCAGTTCAAGTAAAAAGTGCAGGCGCGGTGAAGATCAATTCTAATTTTGTAGCTGATGAGGATTGAAGTATGGCTTGGAGCAATCCTGCTATTATGCAGACTATTCTGCAGTACAATAGGTTGATCAACATTCTTAAACTTGCTTAGCTTTTTACCATCATACTGAATATTATTGGCAATCCGAGGCATGAACTTTACCAAATATTAGGTTTTATAGTTCCTAGTAGGAAGTAGGAACGCTATACGTTATAAAATTATTTATATAATCTCCTAAGGACGAAGTCCAAATGGATTCTATGGTTTGTTGCTGATGTCGAAGAATTTCTTTCTGTTCTTATTGTGCATGACATTCTCTTTCTGAAATTGCAATGGGCTCATATAAACTCAACTCTTTGATATGAAGCATTGGTAAACTATGATTTCTGTGTTACAGTATTTTTTTTGGCCTTACTGTGGCCTACTGCAATTGTAATTTGACACGACAGTTCAAGATAATTCATTCTATGGCTTTCATTGTTAGATCAATATTTTAAAAAGGTATTATTGTAAACCAAGTTTCTGTTAGAGTTATTTTAGTTTTGGATAACTGATTGATTCGAGTTTGCTTTCAATTATTATCAAGCACATCTGGTTTTTAGAACGTGTTAGCTGCCAGTAGGACTCACCGGCCTTGCAATTTGAGATAGGACTGATTTTCTGTTTGAAGTTCTAACGAGGTAAAGCTTCCTATAATTTCAATCGTGTTCTTGTAAATGCAGGTGCATTTGTTGGGATAAATATTGGTACTGATGTTACTAACCTACCATCAGCTACTGATATTATTGGAATCCTTAAAACTAATCGAATAAATCATGTGCGCCTTTTTGATTCCGATGCCCACATTCTGAGTGCTCTCTCCAACACTGGCATTGAAGTCATGGTTGGTGTTACAAATGAAGAAGTTTTAGGGATCGGAGAATCCCCATCAGCAGCAGCAGCCTGGATTAATAAAAATGTTGCAGCTTATCTGCCTGGGACAAATATTACAGCAATTGCTGTGGGCAGTGAAGTTCTCACTTCAATCCCAAATGCAGCACCAGTTCTGGTTCCTGCTATGAATAACCTGTATAAAGCCTTAGTTGCTTCGGATCTAAATTATCTAGTTAAAGTTTCGACGCCACAGTCAATGGGCGTAATTCCTCGGCCATTTCCTCCTTCTGCTGCCACCTTTAATACTACATGGAACTCCACAATATTCCAGATCCTACAGTTCTTAAGAAACACAAATTCCTCTTACATGTTAAATGCTTATCCTTATTATGAATATGTTAAGAGCAATGGCATTTTTCCTATCGAATATGCTCTTTTCCGACCACTCTCATCAGTCAAACAAATTGTTGACCCGAACACCCTTTTTGGCTATAACAGTATGTTTGATGCTTTGGTGGATGCAACCTATAACTCAATATCTGCTCTCAACTTTTCGAAGATCCCTATTGTTGTGACTGAAACTGGTTGGCCTTGGTTTGGTGGTGCCAAAGAACCTTATGCCACTATAGAAAATGCAGAAACATTTAACAATAACTTGATTCGGCGTGTTTCAAATGATTCTGGTCCACCTAGTCAACCCGACATTCCAATAAATACATACATCTATGAGTTGTTCAATGAAGATAAACGGCGTGGGCCTGTCTCAGAGAGGAACTGGGGTGTCCTCTTTCCTAACAGCACTTCTGTCTATTCAATTAGTTTGAGTAATTCAGGAAGTCTCAATGCAAATTCATCAACGGTTTTTTGTATCGTAAAACCAGGTGCAAATGAGGATTCGCTGAGAAGCGGAATTGATTGGGCTTGTGGACCTGGCCAAGCTAATTGCAGAGCTATTCAACAAGGGCAGCCTTGCTATTTACCTGATACTTGGCAAAATCATGCTTCTTATGCTTACAACGATTACTATCAAAAAATGCACAGTTCTGGAGGAACTTGTGACTTTGATGGTACAGCTACGACTACTACTATTGATCCTAGTAAGTTTCTGGCGCCCTTCATCATTGTCCTTTTGAGAGAGCGAATTCTTCTTTTTACACCCATCCCTGGTGATTTTGCTCTATGTTTATAATGATAGGAAACAAGATATTCAAAATGTTAATGCATATCCAGTGATCGGTTTCTACTTATCTTGTTTTCATGGTGTTGCAGTAATAATTTCAAAAAATGATCAGATTTTCTTTTATCCAGTAAAGCTTTCATAGTGCAAATTTAAATTTTCCATCATTGTCCACCATTTCCATTGATGATATCAGTCAACTGTATCCTATTTTTTCCATCTAGAAAACTACTTTCCTCATGCACGCTTTTGGTTGATGCATATGTACGTGTTTGCCTTTATATACTCTTATGTAATTAGAATAGTACGTTATAATCTGTATAAATTTCTTATCCTATGTTCATGGCTATCGATGTGCAGGTTATGGATCCTGCAGATTTAGTGGAAGGTGAGTGTTTATCTAACTTTTTTCTTCTTTATTAGATTTTCTTTATCTGATCCCTAAGATAGTTTTTATATTTTGGGGCAGTTCGAATTCAAGTACTGGTAGGCTAGTTCCTCCTCCTGCTTTTGGACCGGTTGGTCAATCTTCGAGAAGCTCAAGGAATTATATATATTTCCATCAAATTGGATTGTTGTCTGCAGTAGTTCTTGCATTGATTTTAGTTTGATGCTAGTTAATGTCAGAAAGATTTTGTAGAATGCAAGTCGATGAACTGAGATTGTACCTTCAGAAGATGTTCATAACTTATGAAAAAATTTCGCATCCATTGAAAATTCCGTTAGTGTTATTCGTATTTTCCAAACTCTCTCTGTCACTGAATGTTTATCAATAATTACAGAGAAAGGGATTTTTTTTTTTTTAAATACCAATTCTGTATGTGTTTGTTTAGTTTTCTCTTTACACAAGGAAAAAATTTGCTTAGTTGGGCCTAGCAATTTCGAGG